ATGTATGCTATCAAGTTTAACATCAAGAGTAATTGGACTAAGATGATAATGAGTCAAATGTGGCATGTTCGCAGCTCTCGAAGTCCGTTGCCCTACGCCATCTTCATTACCAAAATCCTTGAGCATTTCGGCGTATCCTTAGAAGGTGAGACCAAAGTGGCCCTCAATCTTCGCGAAAGCAAGGTTGATATTGAGGTTGTCCACAAGATGGGATTCGTTATAGATCCTTTCACTCGTCGAACCTAGAAGCATCGTACCGACCGCCAACCTGCTCCTACCGACGAACCAGAACCTACTGCTGCACCAAACCAGCCTGAATCTCATGCTCAATCTTCTACAGCTGCTGCAATGCCCACTAATCAGATGATTATGGATGAATTGGTTTCTATTCGAGGCTACATCACCACAAGGATGGATGCTTTCGATACTCAGAGCCAACAAATCTATTACGAACTTCATCGTCTTTCTTCGAGGCTAAGCAACATGGATGTTGATGAAGATAGCTTTGAGCCCGAGTCTTAGATTATTTTGCCTAGGTTTCTGATTGTGTAATGCTTATGGGTGTGTATTTTCCATGTGGATGTTTAAACATTGTTTGGATTATTTTCTTGTTATTTCTGCTATTTCTGGATTTTGTGTATGAACATCCTTTCGTAGTTATGCAATGTTGTTTCTGTTTCATACATGGGGTTATTGTCTTATATATTTATGCTTATATATTATTACATGAACTTTAATATTCTTTGAACTATTGTATGCTATGCTCTACAAATATCTATTGTGCTAGACTCTTGGCTTTTCTTCTTTTTGATGAAGTCAAAAGGGGGAGAAAAGTTGGGAGATGTGTATTTTCTGTTAATATTCTTTCAGGCACATAACTCCAAATGAAAGGGAGAGCATACATGCATACATATAGGGGGAGCATACTCAAGACAAGTCAAGATATAAAATCAAGTATGTTGCACTCATAAAATTACACTTTCAAGAAGACATTGGTTTGTTATCATCAAAAAGGGGGAGATTGTGAAGAAGATCTTGCTCCTGACCTTGGCACGGTTTTGATGAAGACACCAATATCACAAAAAGAAGAAAGGAAGAAGACCGACAAAGACTATCAAAGATAAAGCTTCAAGATTTAGAGTCTAAGTATTTAGGTACTTCTATCCTTACAACTCCTTTAATTACTTAGTTAATAATGCTCAAATTTTTTTTCAAGAAAATCAGGAAAAACTAAGTGTGAATAAAAATAATTTTCAAAAATAACATGTAACGGGTTACCATACTTGAGTAACAAGTTACATGAGTGAGAAAAGAGTTTTCAAACCTCTAACAGCTATGAGTAATCCATTATAGACTTTGGAGTAACAGATTACCATTTTTAGAAAACAGGGTAATCGATTACTCAAAGTAGTGTAATCGATTACACTAAGGCAAATTCACAAAGCTGTCAAACAGTGTTGTTGAGTAATCGATTACTCAAATCTAGTAATCGATAACACTGTGTGAATTTTCAAAAAGCTGTTAACAGGATTGTTGGGTAATCGATTACCCATTTGCAGTAATCGATTACTGAGAGTTGTTGCATCAGTTTTTCAGATTTCAAGTGAAAGGGTTTCACTCCAAACTGATTGCTTTTCATTCCAAACGAAACCTACTCATGCCTAAGGGTATTGTGGTTGATTGGAAGCCTATATAAAGGCATTGAAACACTCTCACAACATACAACAATATACAACAACTCAGATTACAAACTTTTACTTGAAACTCTCAAAAGCTTTCACACTTTCTGATTTTACGTACACTTTTCAAGCAACCTACTCTTAAACTTTCAAAGTTATTTTGAAGTTGCTTCTAAGTGTTTTTCATATTGTTAAAGAGCATTATTATCTCAAGTATATGAGTTGTTATTGGATTGCAAGTTATATAAATTGTCATATACACATGTAAGGCAATCCAAGCAAAATTGTACATTCTTTATATTTGCAAAGTTTACTTTCTTTCACAAGGGTGTGAAGAGAAAGGGTGAGTGACTTGGTATAGTCTTTACCAAGGGTGTAACTTGGTATAGTTTTTACCAAGGGTGTTACTTGGAATAGAGTTTTCCAAGGGGATTAGATATAAGTGAGTGTGTAAGGTACAAGGAGATATCGGGGTGAGATATTTGTAATTGCAACTAATTATATTTAATAAAGGAATCTCTTGTGAGTCAAGAGTACTAGATATAGCCTTCGGTGGACAAGAAGGTGAACAAGTATAAAACACCTGCGTACTTTCTTTCCCTACTCTTTTTTATTTACTTATCCTTCCTAAGACAATATTTTCCTGCATATTATTTCCGCTGCACGTTAACTTTGATATTGTAGAAAAATTGGCCATACTTATTGCAACAACTAATTCACCCCCTCTTAGTTGCAATTTCAGTCTTACAAAAGAAAAGTTGATATTGAGGTTGTCCACAAGATGGGATTCGTTATAGATCCTGTCACTCATCAGACCGACCGCCAACCTGCTCCTACCGACGAACCAGAACCTACTGCTGCGCCAAATCAGGCTGAGTCTCATGCTCAATCTTCTACATATGCTGCAATGCCCACTAATCAGATGATTATGGATGAATTGGTTTCTCTTTGAGGCTACATCACCACAAGGATGGATGCTTTCGACACTCAGAGCCAACAAATTCATTACGAACTTCATCGTCTTTCATCGAGGATA